ATCGTTTTATTTTATTCCACTTTGAACTTAGATTGAGAAGTTCAGGAGACGGTGAAACTTTAGACTACTCTGAGTCATTATATTTTTCGTTTTTATTAAAACACCTACTATTTATAAAACTATCACCGACTCGAGTTAGAACTGACTTGATTTCGCTCCAAACAACCGGTTTGATCGAGAGTCAAAATGTAAATGGCCAGAGTCAATATAAAAAGATTTCAGATTTGTAAATCAAATTCCTTTACCGTAAAATCTTTCACCTGAAGAAAACTACATAAAAAGACATGTTAAAAACATTTTCTTGAAAGCATAAAAGCTACGCTTCAAAAAAATCAGCAAGCATATGGATCAAGTATAGTTTTATTAATACGAAAGCTTTACAATCTAATTTATAATAAAATAACAATCAGTTGCTCGAAATCTGTTTTAATGGCTTTATAATAGGGAACGTTGTAAAACACGTAATGGTTTTATTTATGATAAAAGAACTTTAAAAAAATTTTCAAAAATTTTTAAAGACATCAACAGCTGAACCAGTTTTACCTCGCGGTAGTTATGATGACGTGAAAAATGTCATTTACTTTAGTTAATCAATAAATTTTGATGACGCAAAGGTTTCCGCTGTGAGAGAAGAACTTTAAAATACTTTTTTAAAAATATGAAAAGATATCAACACCTCTATCATATTTAAATGAAGATATGATCTTCGCACTTTGTTGGACAATTTAAGCAATCGTCTCAGGACCTGAAAAAATCAGGTGACTCAACGGGATTCGAACCCATGACCTCTGCGGTGCGGGTGCAGTGCTCTGACCAACTGAGCTATGAAGTCACACAGTGGTGAGCAGGTCAATATTGTTAGGCTGATGTTTTCTCGTGAAAGGAATGTCGTATGAATGTTTTATGCAGTGCGGTGTTTGAAATTAAATGAAGATATGATCTTCGCACTTTGTTGGACAATTTAAGCAATCGTCTCAGGACCTGAAAAAATCAGGTGACTTAAAGGATTCGAACCCATGACCTCTGCGGTGCCGGTGCAGTGCTCTGACAAACTGAGCTATGAAGTCACACAGTGGTGAGCAGGTCAATATTGTTTGGCTCATGTTTTCTCGTGAAAGGAATGTCGTATGAATGGTTTATGCCGTGCAGTGTCTTTATGGATTCGAATCCCGTTGAGTCACCGGATTTTTTCAGGTCCTGAAACGATTGCTTAAATTGTCCAACAAAGTGCGAAAATCATATCTTCAATTAATTTCAAACACCGCACTGCATAAAACATTCATACCTCTATCATATTTGCTAAAGGCTATTTTTCATGCAACTACATTTACGCATAGAGGAAAATGCTCGGGCGCATGTTGAAATCATTTGTAAAGGTTTTTCCAGTTTGCAGAAATTGCACTGGTGCGCTGTTTGTTGAGAAAAGAAACATGGCTGCCGTCAAAAAAACTTTTTATCATTAAGAATCTCATAAATTTTTTTTCAATTGTTATTTAATGAAAGTCTCTTTTGATCAAAATATCAAAAAGTTTTCCTTCAACAAAAATATTTTGTTTAATACAATCTAAAAAAGGAAACCTTTCAAACAAAAAAGATTTGAATGTTCGATTGACAATTTCTGAAGATTTTAATAAGTAAAATGCGCTCTAACTTGTTTATTCCAAAACTTTTTGAAGTTGCTGAATGCTTTTTTTGCCTTCATTTGTCATTAATCATTCTTGCTACATATTAAAATTAATGCAGGTGTCAATATCTTGTAATTTTTTAACGTCTTCAGGCCACCCTAAAATTAAATAATTACGAATTCAGCTTAATGGCTATGTAAATACGATTTCTGTATTTTTTTCTATTTCTTTCCTACTCAAACCAGAACTAGGCTTTTTCAAGCTTTCATTGTTCATACTGTTACTGTCCTTGCGCTGTAAGAAGTTAAAGAAATCAAAGTTGATTTTACTTCTTTCGAGTTTACTTTTTGAATAATCAAAGTGTTTTTCTTTGCATTTTCTTTTATAATCTATTTTGATTTCCATCAGTTTCCTTTAATGGAAACAATGTCTTTTGTTAAAATTACGATTATGTCAAATTTCTATTAATAAAATTTCAATGCAGTAGTTCAATAGGTAATATAAATACAGTGAATTTATCATAGACTGAAAGCAGTAAAATAAATGCCATTTATCTTGCCAACCATTTTTGTTTGGTTAGCTTAGGTGTTCATAAAAATTCCTAAAGTGCAACAAATACCTGTGTGTTTTCTTTTTTCCTTTTTTCAAGTAAATCAGTTTTAAAAATAGCATATATGTTAAAAAAACAAATAGTTTTGAAAATATAATTCCATTGTTCGTGCTTTGCTTGATGATTGCAGCTGAAAAATCAATGTGAATGGAAAACATCAACAGCACTATACAGACGTTGCTCTCAAGGTGGAAGGGGTATATTTATTTAATCTAAGAACTAATCAAATTTTTACTTCATTAGTTTGTTTCGTAAAACATACGTAAGAAAGTTAATGGATTAAAGCAGTAAGTATCGTTACATGTTATTAGCAGTAGCGTAGCTAGACCGACGTTTTAATATGGAAATATTTTTTGTTTACTGACCGCAAGAAATGTATTAATTCTGAAGAAATGAATAATGTTAATCCTTCAAAATTTACTTAGTGGGAGAAATGTGCAGACTAGCTACGCCACGTCAGATCAGTAGAGATACTCAAATGTAATGCGCTTGTCTGCTCGTTTGCTTGCAACAGATACAATGGCTAGACTTGAGTTTAGCGATTATTAGGTTTGTTCAGTTAACAAATTTATGATCATTTTATTTCATTCCACTTTGAACTTAGTTTAAGTATTTAAAGAGACGATAAAATCTTAGACTTTCTCTAAGTCATTTTCTTTATCGTTTTTATTACAACAATTACTATATATAAAACTATCACCGACAGAATTTTAAACCGGTTTGATTTTGCTCCATTCTTAAGTAAATTATGCATGGTTTTATTTATGATAAACGAGCTTTAAAATATTTTTCTAAAAGAAATTAAAAGATATCAACAGCTGAACCAGTTTTACCTCGCGGTAATTATAATGACGTGAGAAAATGTCTTTTACTTTACGTTAATCAATAAATTTTGATGACACTAAGGTTTCCGCTGTGAGAGAAGAACTTTAAAATACTTTTTTAAAAATATGAAAAGATATCAACACCTCTATCATGTTAACTTCATGCAACTTTATTTTAAGCATAAAAGAAAATGCTCGGGGGCATTTTTCTCACATTTGAAAAGTCTTTTTCACTTTGTGAAAATTGCACTGCTGCGCTGTTTGTTGAGAAAAGAAACATGGCTGCTGTAAACAGAAGATAGTTACGTCTCCAATGCTTAAAAATCACGGTAAATTCTATCTATTCACTTGGTTGAAGGAGAAAGAATAGGATTCCTACAAAACAGTGATTTCAAATACGAACATCATTGCTTTATTGCAGCGATCTGAAGGCTGGAGTTTGATAGCAAATAAACAAACTTAAAAGTCGAATGGAATCAACTTTGTCGCGTTGCTCTAGAGCTGTACGAGAGCACAAACGTGCTACTGATATTTCAAACTTTACACAGTTACACATGCGTCAGCGGATAATAGTGCGAGCATTTAGTGCTGTAGCGTAAAATGCAACTGCAAGGAATTTAGCCTATAAATCGGTAATTAGGATGACATATGAAAGCATAAATAATATGTTGTTGCATATACATATTTATCCACCTAAATATTTATTTGATAAAACGAGTTTGCACGCATTTCAACATTCAGTTCTTATCTTTGAAAGGTTTCAGTTTTATTCAAAAGAGCATGATGAACATTTGTGCTGTCATAAAAAAAAATATAATTTTGTGGTTTCACTTTGATATACATTAAATGTTTCTTTAACAATATTTTCTTTGCCAATTAGCTTATATTTTGTGTTTAGCTACGACTGTAGCAAAATTTTGGTTTTTAATTATAGTGACATTTAAATTAGAATTTAGTATAGGAAAATTTTGTCAAGCAGGAGTAAACAAGGTCTTCAAATTTATACCTAACTCGTGCAAAAAATTAACCCATTAACTGATATTTATTTAAGTTTTTGTATAAGAAAAAGTGCAATTGCTCTTAATTGACAACATTGCGTGCTCACAGAAGTGAATAAGCAAATAATGTTCTTTAACGAATTATGGAATTGCATTGCAGGTGTTTAAGAAGGAAAAAATAAAAACGTTTCTCAAATTGATTTTAAAATTTGTATACATTATCACAGTCTTATGGACAAGCTAGACATTTTTAAATGAATGGTAACTTCTGTGTTAACTTTGTGTTTCTAAAACATAAGAGGAGTTTTGAAAAGAAAAACATATTCTTTAAATGTACTGTTGAATAAAAAGATTCGGAGAATGTCTTCCTTAAAAACAATTTCAACTCCATCGAAATTGAAAAATTAGTGAAGAAGAAAGTTCTTATATATTTATGTCATTAAAATATTTCAGAATTAATTTATAAAATTGTTATTTAGACACTTTATGCCATGCAAAAATTATGCAATGAAGATCTCAACTGAATAGCTATATAACTGAGACTTCATTATTTATTTCCATTTTTTTCCTACTTAAACCAGAACGAAGCTTTTTCAAGCTAATATTAATGATAAAGTAACTGTCCTTCCACCTTTGGAAGTTTAATAAATAAACATTACTTTACTTGTTTTTACGTTTTAAATACTTAAAAAGTTTTTTTTTGCATTTGACGTTTTTAATTATTTAATTATCCACCAGTTTCCTCAGATGGAAAAACACAAGTGAGCAATGTTTTGTGTCAAAATAACAATTACGTCAGGTTTTTATTTAGGCAATTAAAATGCACTTGATTAATATTTAATATAAATACAACGAATTTTGTATAGACTGAACGCATTAAAATAAATGCCATTTATCTTGCTATCCATTCTCGTTTCTTCAGTTTAGGTTTTCATACAAGTTCGTAAAGTTTAACAAATATTTAAAAGTTTTATGCTTTCCTTTTGAAAGAAAATCAGTTTTAAAAATAGCATATAGTCTCAACAAAATGACAAATAGTTTTGAAGATATAATTCCAATGTTAGTGCTTTGCTTGATGATTGCAGCTCAAAATCAATGTGAAGGGAAAGCATCAACATCACTATACAGACGTCGTTCTCAAGGTGAGAAGGGTATATTTATTTGATCTAAGATATAACCATATTTTAATTTATTAGTTGTTTTACATGACATGTGTAAGAATGGAATAGTTTAAACGACCGAGTAGATTGTAGCATGTTTGTAGATGTTGATCGTCTAGATTAGCAGTAGCGTATTCAGCCAGACTTTTTACTCCCACTTTGCAAATAGACTTACCACGATAACATTAGATTTCTAAATAAAATAATAATGATAATCCTTAAAAATTTACATAGCTTTTAAAAGTGAATTGAATTTCAAATGAATTCAGTAGCGCGCAAATGAATATATGAATATACACATGCCCATCTGACGTTTTATTTACGCTTCTTTGTGCTCGTATGAGTATTCTTAAAGTGGAGTTCATACAACGTAAATCTTTATAAACAATAAAATTTAGGTGAACGAATTGGAAACCTATTACTTATAAATATACTAAAGAAAAATAAATTTTATATGAAAATGTTTTAAGCAGCAACTTTCACATAAAAGTTTGTGAAATGAATTTATAGCGTATAGTAAAGACGAGGATCAAATGACAAAGTTAAATTTAGTGTGCACATTGTAAGCATTAGCTATATTGCAAAATAGAAGCTCTTAAAAACGAATACAGAACGCCCTCACAATGAGTTTGTATTATTTATAGATCTCTAGACTTTACTCAAGCAATTATTAAGCTTGTGCACAGGGTAAAACTCTACCCTACGTTATTTTAGGACTGTTTTAAGACTTACCAAACTAAACAAAACGAAGTTTGATAAGGATTTCCGATCTGTGCTTTTGACACAATATTCTTACTGGATAAATTTTTAACAAGGTCCAGATTTTGATCGTGCAGAAGCAAGTCATGCTTTTTATCTCCAACGCTTATTTTGAACATTAATACAATAATGGTCAATGTTTTTATTCAGCGACATGTCTTGTTTCTTGGTTTTGTCAGTAGCGCACTTTTAAAAATATTAAAAACACAAAACATCTTTTTCTGGTTCATGTTAAGTTGTTATACATAGTTTTGTCCGATTATTACGTTATGTGACAGCAGGCAAGGAGTTGTAGTCAAGTACAATTTACACTCATATTTGCAATTATAAAATATAAACCTCTACAACAGACATTTATGCACATTAATTTCAATGTGGACAGCAAACCCGTTGTAGGTGTAATTATACATAATCTGTCTGTCTTGTCAACAAAACATTTACCCCACTTAAGGTGTATTTTTGGTCCTTATGAAGTGTTAGTTTAACATATATTTGCTGTAAATTTTTAAATTTAAAAATTTTGAATTTTGTTACCTTAATCTGAGTTTTACGATAATTCCAATAAGATGAAGTCGCATTTTCTGACATCGGCAATTTAAAGCATGCTAAATAGGACTGACAACACAAATCAAATAGCCATTTATCTCGAAAATGTGACCATGAGCTATCGTAATCTTTTAAAAGATATAAGAAATAAATAGTTTCTGATCCTGATCATTAACCTTTAAAATGAGAAAATCGAGATACACGTAGTGAAGCATGCTTAACTTGTTAATCCCGTCGCATGTCTTGATTAGTAGCCTGTTCTGCGTACGAGAAACTTAGTGCAGCGAACTGTAATAAGTTAAACAAATGGCTTACCTTTAACAGTTGTCTGTTCAGTTATAGATACACTACTATGGCGTCATTTGTGATAAAATTTAAATTCGGTTATTTTTTATCAAATATATATTCTTACTCCTTCACTTTTCCAGTTTTGCTTAGTTAGATTTTAAACTTAAAGTAATAATACTTTACTGCTTTCTGCAGGATTAAGTTTGTGTATGTTTAGGCTTTAATAACGGTATATTACAATTATTGTAAATTTGCATCAATTTTGTGTAATCATTCTAACCTTTATGATGTAACTAAAGTCTAAATTTGCCTCACTGCTGTATATTTACGTAAAACGTATATATATTTACAATCATGGCGTAGAAAGATCGTAAATTGGGGGCTCATATTCATTTATTTATGTTGATATCATTAGAAAACAATGGTCTCAAAAGAGCTTAACCTTGCGTAAAATGAATGTATAGATGTTAGACCACCAATTATCGATCCTCCTACGCCTATGCTTACATTATCTTGGTGTAAATATAAAGACTTAAATACACCAAATTAGTGTAAAGTTCAAATAAAACATTCATTGAACTAAACTTAAGAATTTATAAACTTATAACTCTTTGGTGTTAACACAGAGTCAAGAATTAAGGAAAGTTTGGTGTTCACAGTACACTTGGTAATATGTAATGTATTCACCGTTTGATATTTTATTATAGTACATTATAGATAATTTTAACTGTACATAACACGATCGGATGTTAGCCGCAGTAATTTAGGCGTTGTAAAATTTGAATCTTGTTTCTGGTGTTTTTATGTTTATTCTAGTGTAAGATAACACGAAAAAGAAATTTGCTTTACAAATGTGGTTATTCTACTTTTTAGTTCCACTTTGCACATTTAAGTTTTCCTTCTTGGATTTATATTTTCAACTCACGATTATTGTTCTAAACATTTTCATAACCATCGACTGTTAACTTATGCTATCGTTCCTTAAACTTCACACTCAAATTTCGGTCCTCTCGTCTTTTTGATACATTCAAGCAATTGTGGGCAACATTATAAATGATATCAATTTTCCAACAGATACATGTCCATTGGTGAAACACATCCTCAAAGAAGAAAGATTTGAGACATTGGAGGATTGCACCTTTAAATGTCATCAAGAAGTACTTTGTATTGGATTCAACTTCATCAATTACTCCAGGCAAAATATAAACTGTCAGTTGACATCATCACTTCAGCATGAACACCAAAATTGTCACGAGAGAAAATGGAATTTTTATCAGAAATTATCAACTGACCCACAGGTATGAGCATGGCTTATGTATTTTTATTCTAAAATTGTTAGCTACAATTGAGAGCAAAAAGTATTAAGAAAAAGTATTAGATCTTTATGAATCGTGTACAATTTAAAAAAATATACAGTAAAATCATAATATTTGAAATCCTTAATTACTAAATATTTATTAAAGTAAACATAATTCATTATGGATTTACTTGGCTCATACGTTTGTGTTAACATTGCTTTTACATTTTTGCAAGCTAAGAACAAATCAAACTAAAAATGACTTCACATAAGTTAAAGAGGAGTATGCAATGCAACTATTATGAAAAGCTCGTGCACACTACAATGGTTGATTTGTAGGTGTGGCATAATTGTTTCCTATGCAATTTTTAAAATTATTACTTTCTCTTACCTAATTGTCATTTTTATGAGGCATGATTTTCTTTAAATTTGCATTTCATATGAAGAAATATGTGAAAAAGGAGTTCAAAAATACCTTTTGTTTACGAAAAAATGAATACAAGAAATTATAAACTTGATAGTCATTGAAGTTGAAAAAATTTTGTTATCCATTAAAAACAATTAATGCTTTTCAATCATTTTCAATTTTGTAAGGTATATACCTTTCTTTAGGTGCCAAGTGTTAAGCAAAAACAATGCAAAAATGGAGGTTGGGCAGTTCTTAATGCCAAAAATGTACCAAAGTCGGATCCTTATAAATGCCAATGTCCAATTACATATACAGGAGATTTTTGTGAAATTGGTAAGCTTAGTTTACTTTTTCATTAATAAGTAATGTAAGATACGCAATAAATGGACCTTTAAGCTCAAAAGCTTTTTTTGACCTAAAGAATCGATTGCGTTATTATTTACTTGTGCAATTCTCCACTAAAATTATAGTCAAACATTCACGCTTAAATATAAATGAGATAATTGTTTTGTTTAAAATTATGAATAAAATAATAAATATTGCCTTATGAAAATTGTAAGTAACTATATCTTATTAATAATTACTCAATATGTATTACATAGATTTAACTATATTGATATCATTAATACAAAAATAGGTCAGGGTAAATAAGGAAGTTAATTACAACGCGAGATAAATATAGTACAAAACTATCACGTAAATTAGGGCATAGATTTAACATAATTATTAAAATAACTTAGCGGTTAGTGACAGAATGTGCGTTCTGCGTTTTGATAAAAAAAATAAGGAAGTTAAGTTTGAAAATAGTACTAATCAACTGCACTTGTTTGTTCAGGTCAGCTTCGAATTTGTGTATGTATAGTACTTCTTTAACTTTGGGAGACATTAGAAAATTAGCAGTATCACTTTTGTACGTTGCTACCCGGCTAAGCTCTAGGCAGTCTCTTCTCGTAATGTCATCTTTTTTCTATAAAAAGTGTTCTGAAAATGTACTTTTGGTTGAATTAGTGGTTTCTTGCAGGTCCACGACTGGCAAGAAAGTTTGATGGTGGCAATACACATCAATATGGATTATATGTCAACTCTTCTAAGCAATTCAATGCATTTTCAATATCATTTTGGATCACAATGTCTGATGATATTTATTACGAGACCCAAGAGGCATCGATAATATCCTATGCATTTAAACAAGAAGGCCAAGTCCATGCAAACGCTCCTTTATTTCTTATCTTAAACAAGAAGTTATCTTCATATTTTCTTCGTACATTTTTTAGGTATACAGATATTACATTTTACCAAAAAAATAATTGATTTTTTAAATATTATTTTGAGATGCAGAAGGAAATAGAAATGCACGTTTTCCATTTTTTTATGAGTCATTGACATCTTTTGATTTTTTCTAAACCCTTTAGTATCTCCTCAACGAAAAATGTTATTGGTGTAACAAAAAGACTTTGGAAAGCGAAAGCTAAAAGACATGAACTGCTTTCCATCTCTTTATGGTTAATTTTCGACTTGAAATCTTATACATTTTTCTACATCTTTTAGAACTAACATTAGTGATATATTTGATGGAAAAGGACATCATATTATGATCACGTGGCAAAAGGTTGATGGACAAATGATCATTTACCAAGACGGCGAACAAAAAGATTCAAAATTAGTTGCAAAAGGTCAAAATCTTCTAGCAGGAGGAATATGGGTGGTTGGACAGGATCAAGACACATTTGGTGGAGGATTTCAGAATAGTGACTGTTTCAAAGGAATAATAGACGCTGTATACATATGGGACAAAGTTTTGTCGATTGATGAGATAAAGCTACTGGCAAATAACTGCAATGCATATTTAAGTGGATACAGTATTGGTTACCATGACTTTGAATTTACTAATACTACTAATCGTGTTGAGCCAACTTGCTCCGTATGAGCATCACAGCTTTATTCCTTTTCTTTTCTGATATACTATTATAAATTGTAGAGATTTCTATAAGTTTAACTTTGTTTTAATACATTTTTGTGTTAAGTTAACATATAACGAAGCTTCATGATGTAAGTAGGTTAAATTTGCCGTTTTAATTGCATTATATAGAATACTTGATATAATGATGTTTCTTGTGAAATGTGATACAAAAACTGCAATAATTCATGATGATGTATGAAACGTGATATTTATACAAAACGTCACCATTATTAATATGTAAGCAACCGGTAAGAAAATCGACACTGGAATTTAAATGGGCGTTAAATTTTTGTTTAATTAAGATGAATGGTATAATATACATTACTATTGGTCTGAACTTGCATGAGATTGATGATCTGTCAAGATAGTGACGTTAATTGACACTTATACTGTTGTAGCTACAACAGACCTCATTCACATCACCAAATGCATCAATAACTGACAAAGAGTAGGGAAACTTTGATCTCGTTCAAGAGAATTAAGTGAAGAACTTTGACGCACGCTCGCCATTCATGCATGCTTAGTTTATTAGAGTAGTGTATACTACCCAAGCTACAGGGGCGGATCTAGGCCATGGCGAAAGTGGCTTGAGCCAAGGTCAGAATTCTGCCGCTTAAGTTTTTCCAGGGTTGACTTTTTCATGATTAAAAATTTTGCTCAAATACAGCAAAATTCGATCAAAAGCAAAAATTGAATGAATTTTGTAATTTTTTGTCAAAAAATTTGTGTTAACAGAACAAAAACTTCAAATTAAACGTCTTGTTAAAATAGTATTATCATCCAGTTAAACTCTGAACTGTTAAATCACCGAAAGCGTCTCGAATCTTGCCGAATACGCCATGAATATGTTCGGAGTATGTTCGTAAATTTGCGCCTGCAATCTCAGAATGAAGAGCCACGGTCAGCGTTCAAAAAATTTCGCAATAGTTGCTAAATATAGTAACCTTTAGCCACGGTGCAGCGTTGCAAGCCAATCACAGGGAACGTTTTGGTCATGTGCGCCACGGTGAGCCACGGTGAATGTATTTTGAATGCGCAATAAATACAAGTCATATGCAATAGATCGATTCTTGTCGACTTGAAAAAACGCTACTTCTAGTTCTACTCAGCGATTAGGATCAATGGAAACTTCTAAAAAGATCGATGTTCTTGAAAAGCTTGTCCAAACCTTTCAGCAAGAGAACGCTTGCGAAATTATTTCTGGTGAATTGTCTAACTTGAGACAACACTGTGTTAAAATAATCAACGAGGAAAGGCTTCGTCGTATAAATTCTACTGGCAGTATTATGCTACGAATTTGTTCAATTTCAAAACTGTAGTTCCCTGAAAGCCAAATTGAAAGATCAGGACCCAATGTCCCTGTTAGGTAAGAATTTACATGTACTGGAGTATTAAATTTATATTTTTATTTACGTTTGACATCTTGGCCTGAAATATATGATAAATCCATTAATTTTCAGCTATTCATATTTAGTGTATCATGTAAAATATATGTCTAAAGCTGTCATTATTTTGCATACTCAGTCTGTCTAATGTACGGCCTAAATAATTTTAATTGTTACTGTCTGTTGAAAAAAATGTTTTACTTCAATATTAGTCAAAGCTGGTCCTTTTTAAAATTTAACCTAATCAATAATGTATTATCCTTGTATTCCTGGCATTATATGTTATCCCCTGATTAAAGAAACTAACATATCATTTTGAATAACTGTTACTTTCTTTTGCGATTTATATAGAATATTGATGCTATAGTAGATGGAATCAATAAGTCGTCTGAATCCTGTACGACATGCCTAGACTAGTTCCAAATCTTAGACTACCTGCCTGTGACTTTGACTTTATCATGATGTTACCAAATTAAAACAAAGAGAAAATAACTTTCTCAATTTCAATATTATTAGTCTATCTTTAACAGTATTGGTTACCTTTATTTATTCTAATGTCATAGTCCGTCTAACAGATTTGTTTCCAGGTATAACTTGGTATCACAAAGCAGCCATTGATACTTTAATACTAATTTTTCTTTTAGTACTTTAGCCAATGGGAATTTTCTGTTCAATGCATGTTCTATTGCATTAGTTGGAAATGAGACTCTCTCTATTTACTTGAGATTCCTAACTAGTGTTGAAATGTTTGAGAATGCAAAATACTATTCTACCCATCCTCTCATCGAGTCCCAGCATAAAAATAGTGCGTTCACTACATTTAAAAATGCCTTTGCCATGTGTATATCCGATGCAGCTCTAACCTCTTTAGAAAATGTGAATGAAATTGCAGCAGTTTTACAAGAAGCAGTGGTATTGTTAGATTGTTATTTTAGTATACAATTTGGAAACCTAGTTTTGTTAACACGAAAGATTTGCATTATACTATATACTAAAATAACAATCCGTTACTAGAAATCTGCTTTGATGGCTTTATATAACGCGTTATGGTTTGTTTTTATGATAAAAGAACTTTAAAATTATTTTCAAAAAAATTTAAAAAAAGTGTCAACAGCTGAGTCAGTTTTCATTGCGGTAATTAGGATGGCGTAGGAAAATGCTCTTTAACTTAAGTGAAATTCTTAACTGATAAATTTGATGACACAATGGCTTCCAACGTGGCAGATAAACTTTAAAATACTTTTTTGAAAAATTAAACCATTAAAGATAGTAAGAGTCATCATAATTACTCTCCATTAATTTTAATTATGATGACGTAGGAGCGCATAAAAATATGTTTTTGCATATAAATATATATATATTTATATGCATAAATACTCATTGGAAAAGGCGAGTTTGCATGAATTTTAACATTCAGCTCTTTTCTTTGAAATGCTTCAGTTTTACTCAAGAGAGCATAATGAATAATTGTGTTGTTATAAAACACATTGAGAAACCACAAATGATCATAAATTTACTTTGACACGCGTCAAATGTTTCTTTAACAATTTATCAATGAAGGTTTACTAAAATGAAAACACTCACTTTTTCCATTCAGCTAACGTTACAAAATTTTCGTATTTGACGTTCGTGATATTTAATTTAGAAATTAGTATAGTGTATGAAGTATGATTTTGTTTAGCACAATTAAACAAACATTTCAAATTTTAAGCTTATTAAGAAAAATATAAACTCATTAACTTATAAATATTTTTGTTGTTTGCATAAGGACAGATGCTATTATTCTTAATTTACAGCGTTCTGTGTATAAGGAAGTAAAAAGGAACTCATGCATTCCAGAAAGTTATGAATTAATTCTAATACTTGTTTATATTACCTCTGTCTTATGGACAAACTTCATGTTTTTAGAGGAATCGTAATTTTAAGGTTTCTTTTGTGTTTCCAAACTAAAGGAAGAGTTTCGAAAAGAAAAAATATTTTTTGTACGTACCATTGAATAAACAGAACCAACAAATGTTGTTTTTTAAAAGCAATTTTATCTCCGTGTAGAGAAACTCAAAAATAGGTGAAAGAAAATATTTTTTATCATTAACAAATTTAGAACTTATTGTTATCTAGTGAAAGTCTCTCTTTATCAAAATATCGCTCAAAGATTCGCTGCCATTGAAAGCAATGTTGGCAATTACATCTACGGAGCAGGTTTTCCTTAAAAAAGAAGATGTCATCGAATGCATTCCTAAAAAACTTTAATCTTTCAAACAAAAAGGATTTTATTGTTACAATGGTAATTTTTGTAGCTTATAATAAGTAAAATGTTGGCTAGCTTGCTTGAACAAAAAATTATTGAGGTCTCTAAATGCTTTCTTTTTCTGAGCTTCTGCGTCATAATTGCTTCTAAGTAAAATTAATGCAGGTGTCAATAACTTTTGCAATATTAGTAAAGTTTTTCTGTCTTAATGGAAACCTATATGCCATCTAAAATTATGCAATTAAGAATTTAAATAAATAGCTATATAAATAAGATTTCTACAATTTTTTCTATTTCTTTCTATTTAAAGCAGAATTAACCTTTTTCAAGGTTATATTGTTGAAATTGTCCTTGCACCGTTCGATGTTTAATAAATGAGAGCACGAATGTATTACTGATATTTTGAACTTTACACAGTAGCACATGCGTCAGTGGATAATAGTGCAAGCATTTTTTGCTGTAGCGTAAAATGCAACTGCATGGAAATTAGCCAATAAATCGGTAATTATGATGACATAGGAAGGCAAAGAAAATATGTTGTTGCATGTATATATTTATCCACATAAATATTCATTGGATGAAACGAGTTAGCACGCATTTTAACATTCAGTTCTTATCCTTGAAATGTTTCAGTTTTACACAAAAGATCACGATGAGCATTTGTGCAGGCATAAAGCACATTATTATTTCTTAATTTCACTTTGATACAGGTTAAATGTTTCTTTAACAAAATTTTGTTTGCCTATAAACTTACATTTGTGTTTTGCTACGACTGTAGCAATATTTTAATTTTTAACTTCCGTGACATTTAGTATAGAAATTAGTGTAGCAAAATTATGTTGAGCACAAGTAAACTAGGACTTCAAATTCATAGCTAACTCGTGCAAAACGTCAACCCATTAACCAATATTTATTTAGGCTATTTGTATAAGAAAAAATACAATTACTCTCAATTTACAGCATTGCGTGCGCACAAAAATAAATAAGCAAATTATGCCATTTAACAAAATATGGAATTGCAATGCAGGTGTTTAAGAATAAAGAAATAAAAACATCTCTCAAATTGATTTTAATAATTGTTTACATTGTTTACATTATCTCAGTCTTATGGACAAACTGCACGTTTTTAAATGAATGGTAATTTCTGTATCTACTTTGTGTTTGCAAAGCACAAGAGGAGATTTAAAAATAAAAACATACTCTTTTAATGTACAATTCAATAAAAATTATGCATTAAAGAACTCAACTAAATAGCTATACAACTGATACATCTGTAAATTTTTCCATTTCTTTCCTACTTAAACCAGAATGAGGCTTTTCTAAGCTTATATTGT